TCGGGCCAACGTTGAATGCCCAAAAAACTACAACAAGATAGAAACGTAATTCAACAATGTTGGCCAAGCGTTGGGCCAATATTGTATTCCAAACAAAATTCCGTAACTAAGTGGTGACAAACTAACAACAGTGGTCCAATGTTGGTCCAACATTGGGCTAATGTTGTGTCTCCAACCAACCTCGGCCTCTGTGTAAAGTAGTGTAATGTTGACATTGACCCAACATTGGGCCAACGTTGTAAACCCAACGCAAACCATCGGCCAACGGACCAACCATTAGCCAATGTTGGGCCAACGTAGTAATGCTATCTGGGCTAATGTATGTGGTTCATTTCTTGACATAAGTTTGTTATCTTGATGGAAGACAAATGATGACTGAAAACATTACATAAAAGTTAAAAGTTATTTAAAAGGTAAATACATGTAATCCGTGTGAAGTATGCTAATTTCATTGACTCAATCTAAAATGCATACTTAAAAAAATGTAGAAGTAAAAGAGAAGTAGAACCACGACACACTCCACATTAAAACTTTCTTTAAAACAGAAAAATAAAGAGTGAAAGAAAGACAGAAACACATATGTTGACATCTGTGGAAATTTTCCGACGGCACATCATTCTATTTATCCTATTACCTCGTTTGTGTTTAAATATTCTTCTTTGAGCTTTCAGTCTTGCTTGTCGACCGTTTAAAATTGTTTCAGTGCATATGTCATCAAAGGCATTTGAACGATGCCCAGTTCCTCTGTCGTCCTCTGAAATCCAAATTATTTGAAATTATCTGCCTGTTAAAATATTAAATTGAAATATGATAACAGAAATAAAGATTCTCGATGTTATGTGAAACCTTGTATTATTAATAACTTTCTTGTGTAAAAGACGAAAAGCATTGAAAGTCTACATAGGTAAAGGGTTAATGTCACAAAAATGACTTCAATTCAGCAGGCCTAAGTCACCCAAAGTCATGTAATACTGTACAAACATCATATCTAAAATTCAATATATTTACATTTATATCTATATCACAACAAAGCATAAGTGTAAGTTTTCTTTAATTCAAAAGGTTCAAGCATCCATTACTGCCCTAACAATATTTTTGTTGATATCATATTCAAGGATATAGCAGTATCCGTTGTTTTCGTTGCGTCTAAACAATGTTACGTCTTATTATTTTTCTTGCTACTTTCTTGTGTAACCTAATAGTATTCCTTTTTGATATAGTGCTTCTGTACTTAATGTTCATTGGACCAATTATGACAGATGAAAAAAAAATACCTAGACTTCAAATTTATTTTCTTAAAAAAAGATGTTTATATCATCTGTCCTTTAGTGCTCAACAACACGGTTATTATACATGTACTACACATTCAATGAATTAGATTTAATAATAAAAGGAGATTTCGGAATGTGTTTATTTTTTTTCTCTTTCACTTTAAAGCAAACATGGTTTTTATGAATATGTACGAGGGTCATTCAAACAGTTCGTAGACTTTTGTCCTAACTATTTTATTGAACGTCATATTTGGTCCAAATTTAGTACAAACATTTTAACAACAGATTCAAATAATTTGAGTAAAAAAATTGGAATGTATCTTCATATTTATTAAAATTACCAAGGATTTAGAACAGCAAAAATGGGGTCACGGAGCACCGTCAAAATTGAGTAATTTACTTTCTTTCACTTAATAGTATTTACAGCCATACCTCTAATAAATTGAACTGAAATGAAATAAAATTTACATGTTTAAATAAAGTATTGCTGTATTAATTAAAATGAAATGAGGTTATGTAATATGTCGCTCCATTTAAAAGATATCAGTTTCTAAATACATATGGATTTGATTAAAAAAAACAAAAAAAAAACATGACATTTAAGGACCTCACGGAGCAGCAATTAGCAATAAAATTGTACTTTACATTCGTGAAACTTATTCTACAAGCTTAAAAAAATCCGTATAAACCAGGATCTGTATGAAAAATAATCTTTGTATTTGTTTTAAATGGAAAATACAATTTTTAAGTGGTAGCAAGTTTCAATCGGACTATGGATTGTCTGCAAAGAAACAGTTTAAGTTTAAAAATGTTGTCAAAAGATGTAGGAACGTTATTGAACGTGATGTGTGCTTCACTGTTGCAGAATTAATAGAGTTACATGGTAAATGAAAGAATTTAAAAACAATGACATTCTTATTCAAGCTATATTTGTACAATTGTTCGCAAACAAGGTGTTAGTTGTTATGGATATGTTTTTTTGAATGGAGAAGATGCTACAAACCGTGTTTAAAATAAAGAAAATAGGTATAATTTTGACAAACTTTCTCAACGTTGTCTTTGACGTTACAATGTTGGTTAACCATGCTCCGTGGTAACAAAACATGTTGGTTTAAATTTTGGCTAACATGAGTTCTATTTAATCAAATGGAATGAAACTTCACACTTCGACAAAATAAATGTTTATGTTTACGAAAATGTGTTGATTTGTAATCTTGTAATAGTTATATGACGGTGAGAAACATTGTCTACGTATTTTTGAATGACCCTCGTATAATTACGATTTCTTAATACTAAGGACAGATGATACATTCAAACAATTTTTTTTTCTCTTGAGGAGACAATATCATGTCTCAAGTTTAGAAAAGTGGAAAATTCTTTTAAAAAGTTTCTCCAAAAAGTTGCAAAATGAAATAGACTTGCAAAATTTTAGTAATTTTCAATGAATATACAAATAAGAATAAAACATACTCATTAAAGGTTTACAGACAAAAATCAATTTTAAAATATGTTATATTGGTGCTTGAAGTGTAATATTATCTTTAGAAAAGTATACCAAGCCAGGTCAATTTTATCACGAAAAGCAAAATTGTAAATTTTTCAAGTCTAATTCATTTTCCAGTTCTAAGAATAAAAAATTCTAAGAATTAACTACTTTTCTAAACTTGTGACTTGTTATTTATTCTCTTCCAAACAAAACATTAGTTTATATCATCTTTCCTTAAAAACTTAGCAAAGGGGGTAACTGGATCCGCCTACTGATTGATTTGATCTTGAATCTCAAAAGTCAAATGTATTTTAAGACCTCAATCTTAAATGAGCCTTCCGACCTTTCGTAAAAAAGGAAGATGATATATCTCTTATAGTTCCAGGTCAAAAAACGTAGTTGCTCAAGATACATATCATGTTTATTATAAATATGGAAATACCAAAAAAAACATCACTATAAATAGCTTGTCTAATATGTTGACTTTAAAAAAAATATCTTTGATTCTTTATGAAACAGTCCATTCTTTGTATTGCTGTGCAGGTACGAGGTGCTATCAAAAAGTTCGTGGACTAGCGCCATAAAATTAAAACCGCTTTAGGTACATCAATGAATTTTAAAATATTTAGCTATCATCATCTTTTCTATGTATAGAATAAACAATAAAGCCTAAATTTCATTTTTTTTTTTTATTAAATTAGTAATGATTTTGTAAGCAATGGTATGTCCAGGCGGCGCAACCTCGAAAACGACGTTTTTTCGCCTTAAGTGTAACAAAGATAAACTGATTTGATATGAACATTTGACATCCAAAAATCCCCATTAATTCAGGTATGGGTTGGGACATTATTGTTCCATAAAATATGGAACTTTTACCTCATTGTGGAAGTTCTATGAAATTTTATTGTAAATTTTACATGGAGTATCCAAGCAAATTTTGCATTGAAAATGACGTCAAAAGGGGAAGGGGTTTCATTTTGCAATACTGTATTAAGTTTAGCCCCTGGAAAAACTGGAATACACCTAGGAAATATTTCAACTGCCTATGGAGAAAAAATAATGCATCCAAATTACTCGTTTTTAATACCAAAATAGATTCAGAGAGAAAAAGTATGGAAAGTTAATGTCGATTTGTAGTCAAGGTTTGAAAAATCTATTTCGTCAAATAATGACGTTGATCAAGTGTTTTAGCTATATTGAACTCCAAAAAACAAAATATGCTGGCATAATCAATAACGATGTCTCCCAATATATAAATCCAATTGCAATATTATGATATATGCATTGCTGCTGATCATGACATTGTAAAGTCATAAAAACAAGACGGGTTGAAGTCCTTATTCAGCTTTAGGGAACTTCATCAAAATAAGTGTACGAGGTAGAGAAGCGGACGTTGAAAAAAATAATGACGTTGTCGGACGTAATGAAACTAAGCGGCGACGGCGCCGGGTGATCATATAATGTCGTTTTTATTTTAAAATAATTTGGGAAATAATGAACGTAACGAGCTATTATTTTCAAAATTTCTTTATTTTTTGTTGTTTTATGTTCCTTATAAACTTTGTAAGCTTAGACAACATAGTTCTAATTTTATAGCCTCAGTCCACGAACTAGGCACTAGACAGTGCAAATTCTTAACAAAAACCCTATCAAGTGTGTGTCAAAACTCGACAGAAAAGCGACGTCGGCCGCCCGCACGGGGCAGTGTCCGAACAGGAAAATAAGTTTTAATACAGCTGAAATGACGTAAGAGAAAAAATATTTGTTAAAACAACTCAAAATTATTGAAAAATATTAAGTGTATCGATGTGAGATTTCAATGGTGTTTACAAATTCGAAGACACTACAAGAATTTAAAAACACATGTAATTTACTGAAAATTGAAATTTTTATTCATGACGTTATTATAATTCTAGCACAGCGTCAGACTGGGCTGTGCAGTTTATGTTTACAAACTATTCATTAAAATGAAGCTCGTAAATTTTTGTGCATTGCTTTGAATTTTAAAAATTAAATTAATTATAATCTATACTTAAAAATTATTGCTAGCACTAAGAAGAGCGTTGCAGCATCAAAAAGAAATGTAGTGTTTGTCCATGTACATGTGTTAAGACAAAATCCAAATGTTTGACGTTATAATGAAATTAGCTTAACGTCAGACTGGTTCATTCGCACAATCTGCGATCTTTAAAGACCCCGATTTTAACAATAAATATTAAGTTTCCCAAATAAAAATTAAATCACTCTGACTTGGTTTTTCATAAGAAATATTTTGATGTACAATAGATGCATATGGAACCATATATTTTCACAAAAAACGTCATTGTCCACGAACTTTTGGGACAACCCTCGTACACTTTTTAAAACTCTCATTATTGGGGGTATTAGCACCATAGAGCATATAAGAAAGCAGAAAAAGGACATTTTTTATATGAACCTACAGTGAATGTATAACACATAAGGCCTAAGATTATCAATATAAACATGCAAGTAGAAATAGTACAAGAAATCAATTTTCATTATGTGAGTTACAGAATCAAAAGTCTGTGGTGCAGAGGTGCAAAGCTTTTATTGACAGCTAAGAATAATATGTGTTTAATTATAGTTTTTCTGAATCATAGACACCCATACGGACTTAACGTGTGAAAAGGACAAAACTAGCAGAACAAATTTCAATCATATATTTTCCTCAAAAAGCTAGCTTTTCTAAGAATTAAAAAAGTTATTCAAATGTCACTCGTATGTTAATAAGAGAAGATAGAGTTCCTGTTTCATCTAATAATTCTACGGATATAGATTTATATCAATTTAAGTAGATAGGTTCAACGGTAAATTTACATCTACATTGCTTGTTAATTAAAGAGGAATTCAATCTTTGATATTAAGCCGTTTGGTTTCTTGCTGCAGTTCAAATTGGTTTTCCAGAAAATCGTCAGCAAACGACAACGCCTTTCGCAAGGCTTTTAAAGCCAATATGTTTATGTTGGTTTTCAAGCAATCTTCCTTTTCATAATTCTTCACTGGAATCACATGTGCTCTTGGAATTGCGATTACATCTGCAATTTTGTTTACAATTTCCTCAACGGCTCTGCTGAAAAATACATCACTGATTTCTTTGTCAACCATTGGGCATATCTTGTCAATCTTCGTTACATAAACAAGAAGTGGAATTCCTAAAAAAAAAAATTGTTTAGGCATACGATTTTTTTAAACGACTTTTTGCAAAAATGTCGGTAACAAATGAATATAGTTTAGAAATAAAACATGCAATAAAGGATCTGATTTTGCAAAAAATCCCCCAACATTTTGATCTCAATTTTCATTTGTTGAATTCCGATGCAATTCTTTCAGATACAACGGGGCTATCAAAAGCGGGGGTTCTCGATATTCTGAATCTGGTTTTATCTGAAAAATGATGCTTCCTAAAATTGCTGCATCTTAATGTTGCGTGGCACAAAAAGGAAAATGGGCGACTGGAAGCAGGTGTACCGCAATCTACAATTGCAAGAAGTTTTAATGTTACACACAGACCATATCTAACCTATAAAACATAAACCATTATCATTGAACACCCAATGTTCGCAAAAAATATGGTAGACTACGTTTGACATCAGCAGTACAGCATCACTTCCGAGGATTACGCAAATTGCATGAATGTAATGCAAGGACGTCATCTAAAGCAATAGCTGAGGTAAAGCTGAGCTGCACAGATCATCTAACAAGGCCGTTTTCAGTTGACTACGAATTATTGCGAGAGGATTATTCATGCCATTGTTCCGACCCCACAACACCCCAAATATCGACTTCAAAGATCTCAGATGAATAGAGTACGACCAAAGCACCACTGCTAAACATTTTGGTTAACCTGCTAGTCCAGAATGTTTATCTGAAAACCTCTTATAAGTTTAAGAGTGCTAATGCTTTTTAATGAAGGTTAGATAGATAACTGCCTCCAGGACGTTAAAAAAGTTGGTGGTGGTAGTGTAATGATATGGAAAATGGTATTATAAGAAAGTAAGATTGATTTGGTTCGAATTCAATGGACTTCGATGGAAAAAAGTACTCAAACCATGTTCTACCTACACATACCCATTCAATTTTGCAGCTTCCTAGAGCCGTATTGCAATCTCACAATACACAGCCACATATGGCTCGTTTGACACACCTATTCTTGCAAAAAAACAACTACCTGTTTCAGTCACAGTCATCTAAATCGATAAATCTAATCCAAATTAATCAGCATTGTACAAAATGGATTGGCATAATTTGCCAAAGACAATTGCATCCCCAGACTCTGCAACAGCTGACTAAAGGTTTAGATTTGGAGTGGCAGAGTATTCCTATACAGTTTTTATTACACACATTTCCTTCCATTAGATGCCGAATCTGGCTATCATTTGTGTCTGTGGGGGGCATACCAGATATTGATCTTTAATGGTCTTTAACTGACTATACTTTCAAAATTGTTGAGTAATTATGACATTTAGATAGAATTCCTGTTGCTTACCACATTTCTGTTTTATCAATGCATCATTTTACTAAATAATCTTAATGTTCAATGTGTCACTTAAATTCTACGATGCGTTTCTTTTTTTGAAGAGTATATATAAAGGTAGGTGTACCATAGGAGGATTTAATACAACAACAACGACAACAACAAAAGCAAAAAAGGCCTTTAATAAAAAAAAATACCCTACTTTTAATTATTTCTATTATTTCTATTATTTTTTCATGAAAATTGGGATATTTTTGCGTATGGAACGATTATTATGCGTATTTTCTCCTGATTTTACCTTGGGTATTCATGAAAAATTAACTTAATGAATATCATTTGTGAAGAAATATCCAGCATGCCCATGCATAAGTTGAAAACGGCTGTTGGGGTGGTGTAGGGTTTAGATCGGAATTTCCTCTTCAGGACTGGAGTATCTGTGGTATTAACTTGATTATAAAGACATATCTGAATACTGTTATATTTACCCCTATCGATGGTCATGCTTCTTGTTTCCCCAAGCTTTTTTAGAATTCCCTCTGGCATAACTTCAAATGTGCTTCCATCCACAACAAAAACAACCACATGCATTCTATCCTTCAGTGATGGCTGCTTCTGAAACCCAGGAGAGTCAACAGATGCCTGGGCCACAGGGTTAAACTTAAAATGAATTAGATGTTCATTACTGAGAAATGCTATCTAGTCAAATATATATCGTGAACGAAAATGAAGAGTATCCCCCGTAGATTGATACATATATTGTCCTGTTCGCATTGAAAATTAGTATGAATTTTACATGTGTATCTAGTATTCATATAATAGGGAGAGTAGCAAGGCGGCGCGACGCGTAGTGAGCTCAATAGACTAACGTGTACGAACGGAGAAAATTCGGGTAGAAATCTGCACATTGCTCCAAGAAATTTTATCTCACCGCGTGACAAAAAAAAATCCAAACTCCCAATAATCCTTTGCGGTGCATAGCAACATAGTGGCTAAAACATAGCAACAACATACTTGAAAAAATTGCAAACAACGATTTAATGCGATCTCCATGTCACAAAACTACCGTTTGCATTCTAAATCAACAGGACTTTTTATTTGACTTCATACTTTCGTCACTTAAACGGCTCGGGTATTTCCGACTTTGTCGGAAACTTCCGAAAGAATCGGAATCTCGATCCCGATGCCTAGAAAATGATTTCTTTTTATTCTCTTTTTTTAATAAACTGCGGATAGCCAGTGCAACAAAAAGCTGTGCAAAAGTTTTTGATAGTAAAAAAAAAAACCTGCGCTCGTCCCAACGGTCGCACCGTAGAACATATTGCATGTATTTACACTTTCGCAATTGCATCTTAAGTTAAATATTAATTAACATCTTACTAAAAAAACATTTAAAATATATCGTGGTATATACATATAAATCATATTAAATTTAGTCTTTTTTCATTATGAATTACCCTTATTTTTCCCTTTAAGAATAATTGATTATTTTATTTGTGCACTAAAGAAACAAACTTTGTAGTTGTTTGGTAGATTTCCGTCCATAATAAAAGCCATATCTTCATATTTAATACACAAGTTCTCTTCTAGTCCTCGCATGTCACACAATCTGAAGTTTAAAAACTTCTTTGTTGGTGGATGCCTGATACGGAATTTGTTGAACTGAAATAAAACGTATTTTATTGAAATCTCTTCGAAAAAATTGTAAAAATCCGGTTAAAATTCCAGAATATGTTACATTTACTTGTATTTATTACTGAAAAAAATGTTGCGCAGGTTCGGTATTTGAATAAATTCATAAAAGGAAATGAATTCCCACTTGTAGAAAATGAAGTAAATTTCATTTATAAAAACAAATGATTGCATAAATATACATATAACGCTTGTAGAGTCATTTTTAACATCAATTGACAGAAACCCGGAAGTAGTATAAGCCTCCTAGCTAGTGCGGAAGTGATGTCATAACCGGAAGTGGTCTAGCGGAAGCGGAAGTGGGCTAGCCAGAAATGTCCTAGTCGGAAGCCGGCTGGATGGCCAGTTCAACTGACCTAACCCCCCCCACCCCCCTAGCCCTAACTAACCCTAACTAACCCTAACCCCCTAGCCCTAACTAACCCTAACCCCCTAGCCCTAACTAACCCTAACTAACCCTAACCCTAACCCTAACCCTAACTAACCCTAACCCCCTAACCTTAACTAACCCTAACCCTAACCCTGACCCCCTAACCCTAACTATCCCTATCCCCCTAGTCCTAACTAACCCTAACCCTAACTAACCCTAACTAGCCCTACCCCCTAACCCTAGCCCACTATCCCTAACCCTGGGCTAGGTGGGTCAGTATATAACCCCTAAATATGCTGTTTACACTATGTTTACATTGGTACGTTGGTACTACGTTTTGTTTATGTACACAGGTAAAATACTGTAAAAATACGGTAAAAATTAGGGTCGTGTGCAAAAGAAATATACCTTTTACCTGTGTTTCCTTATATTCCTCTTGCATCATCTATAAAGTGCCGTGTGCAAAAAGTACGATAAAACTTACCGATTCATTGTGACGTCATCCATGTCAGCGAGCTACCCTATGCATTATGACGTCATACACTTGTAAAATTAAAGTTTCATTTTCACTTTTGTTTCTAAGAAGTCAATTTAGATTTTCAAAAAATGTAGAACTATCTTTTGTTTTTCCTCTGTTTTACTTTGATGATTTTCCTGCTGTGAAGCTTTTCTTGTATAAAGCTCAATTTCTCCATGACCACGGAAGTAAACATCCTGATGCATTCTTGTCATGTGAATGCTGAGAGCGTGTTCATTTTTGAAATCTCCTTTCTGACAGACCTATCCGACAGGTAAGTTTGTCTTATTTTTGTTTACATTTCCTATGAAGGTGTCATCTTTACATTTAACCATGATTTATATGTAAAGTTCTATTTTGAATTTAAATACTGTATTCATCCTCATTTCATGTGATTTACAGTTGTATAACCTGCATGTAACTCAGAGTGCATTTAATATTTGTATGATGGGTCATTCTATGATTGAATTTCAATCAGAAAAATATTCACTTAATTTTGGTAAAATACATGGTATTTTTTACATTTCTGTCCCTTTAATCTGTAAATTATTGCTTTACTTACATTGTAAAATGAGGTTAAATGTGTATCACTGTATTGTATAATTTTTCAGGATCAGCTGAGATGTTATTTCACTGGATTATTTTAATGGATAGGCTTATCGGGCATATAGTTGGATATCTCTGGTAAGTTTGTCTTGTTTTTTTTAATTGTTTACATTTCCTATGAAGGTCATCTTTGCATTTAAGCATGTTTATATGGTTAATTTAATTACTGTGCAATACTTATGTGATCTGTTGTCTCTAACTTACATTCATATAAGCACACC